CTCACCACGACTCGCTTAATTCGCTACAACGCAAAATCTAAAATCTCCAAAAAAAGGAATTAAGAGGGAGAGGTCGTCGCCCCCCCGCGGTGGGGTCTCCGACCTCAAATTTCCCTCCTCGATCGGGCTTTCTCGCCCTTGTGACGGACGTCAAAAAAAAGTATATATATATATATATATATATATATATATATATGTATGTATTTTTAATATATTTTAATCATTTTTAAGATTTTTATATTATTTTATAATATAATTTTTTATTTTTTTTCTGATCTACTCTATACTTATGCCTATATTAAATAAATAAATTCCTACATGTTTTCTGCCGCGGAAATCTCACGTGTCGTCGGCCAGCAGTCGCAACGTTGCCACGTCTTGATAGCATGTAACGTCTAATTTTCTGTGTTTTGAACTTTTAAACGCAATATTTTGGAAACCGTGAAGCTAAGCTTCCTGAAATTCAACTATAGTATAGTGACTACAATCCTTAATAACATATTAGTTTTTAAAAATTTTCCTAAATTTTGCTTCGACGCTATTGTTTAAAATATGCCTTTTACAACGATCCCTCCATAAGATTCAATATTAAAACTCACAACTTTGAGAATTTATATCTCGATTTCGGTGAAGCTGAGTCCTCTGAAATTTTGACATGTTGTACATAATGATGTTATTTATACATAGTAATTTTTTCAAAATATTCTTAAATTGTTGAAAAATTGCGATAACCCCCTTAATAGGATCCAAAGAAATCGAGATGGCTCGCACTGCGCACGCAAATTACAGCAATGTACATCCGCTTTTACGAATTGAGCAATGGGAAAAGCGATTTTTTCGCTGCACTCATTAATTACGAGGACATTTGTTTTTCGACAGCTCTCGCTGAATCCGAGTCTAACACTATTTCACGAGCGGAGCTGTCGTCCAACTTTACTGCTCAATAAATAGCGTGGATCATTTTTTGCGAACGATGCGCACACGATGCACAACGACGAGATTATTTCTCCGCCGACCAAGCGATTCGATGAGATAACCGATAGTCGGTTTCGATTGTCCAGCCCAGTCTCGAATAACTATCGCGCAGTCCATTTATTAAACTTTATTTACGAAACTTTTAGGGGCAATGAATAAAGCATTTGATCTCGGCACTGTTGGAATTTTTTACTCATAAAATCGATAATAATAAGAGAGCGAATTTAAAATTATTTTCTATTGTTTTCTGAATGATTAAAAAAAGATTCGCGGAAAAAATCTAAACATTTTTTTTTTTCGTACTTTTTATGCTTTGGACACTATTTCCCGTATAAATTGCGTATCTACCACTGCGCTTTGTCAGCGGCCTCTTTTTTATTCTCGTGATTCTACATCAAAGAGAGTCTTTTTCGTTTACTGCATTTTTAAAATTGTTATTCTATTTTTGCGTCTTCTTTTTTTTATCAGCAGCGGTATTTAAACGTTCGCACGCCGCGCGTTGCAAGAAACGCAGCTGGCAAGCACAATTTACGTAGTTTACAATTGACGCAAGGGAAGCTCGCTGGTACAGACATCACGCGGATGATGTACGATGAAAGCACCGCAGACCTCATTTTATTTGTCGGTACAATTCCGATGCTGGCGCGCAAGTTCGTTGCCTGTTCATCGGGGTGGGGTTGTCGCGCGTTAATCGTTGACTTTCATCGAATAAACTTTCCGCTTCGAGTGGATGACGTAAAACGCCGACGGTATTACGAGTATCGGTTCGTTATTGGGTGTCGATTGCACCATTCTCTCCGAGAATTACACGATGGATCCACGCCATAAAGGGGCTACAAATGCTCAGCTCGCGCGTGCGTTTGCTCACGGCCAATAAAAGAGAGTGCGTCCTCTGATCCATCATTCCTTCAAATAGTTCATCAAAGACAGCCTCACGTCGCACAGTGGGCAAACGTGGACAAAAATCGATTTTTAACATTTGTTAAAATTGATGAAATCAATTATTTTACAGCTTTAAGAACACCTTCAAATTTGTGAAAAACAAATAAAATATATTAAATGTTATGAAATATAAGTTGATATTTATATTTAAGTATTGTTATTAACGCTTGTTTCTTTAGTTTTGTAATATTTTCATGTTTGTTCAAATTTTTCATACATAGTTAGAGTTGCGTGGAAAAAATGCCCAAAAGTTTACTTATACAGCTTTTTATATATTATATCAATAAAAAATTTTTTTGTAATATATTTGTCAATTATTTAATTTGTAAATAATTAACTAGCGCTATTAATTCAATTTTGCGTAAAGAAAGTTCGACTTTCAATGCGCGATTTAATAAGTTTGACCAATTATGCCCGAACAAAACCAGGCTTAATCTTTTCCTTAAAGTGTCCTTTAAATTAAAAACAAAATCCCGTTTGCCCGTTTTTGCCCGTTGAAAGGTCATTAATCATATACTAGGATGAGGATCGAGAAAGATCTTCTTTTGAAAAGACTTATGTAAAGGTTTATGTAAATCAAGTTTCTTGATATATGTGTTTATAACATAAATTTTGAAGTTAATTACAAATTGTTATTAATAAATAGATATATATTTAATATTTAAATAATATTGCTTTGATAAGCGAAATATATTGTTGGACTGTCTCTCACTGTTTAAATGCCACTGTTGCATGTTTACGAATTTTACTTGTATTATCGTTTTTATAAATTTTACATTTTGTCCGCTAGGTTGAAAAAAAGATAATTTTAGAACTCGCAACTGAAAATGTAGTGATTGTAGTGAAATAAGTACTGATTGGCAAACTGTTCAATTTACGTTTTGTACGTATTTGTACGATTTTATATACTGTTATGTAGGTATATTATGTACGATTACAAAAATATTATTACTTTGTAGGATCTAAAGTATCCGACCTCTCAGATCATACCGATTATACTCATGTTTTTACATAACTGCGTAATGTTATAGTTCGGCGTTCATTGATATTGGAATCAAAGCAATTATCTAATTTAAAAAAAATACATTTCAATTTTTTTTTATATTTCGTCATATTAAATCGATTATTTCGAATTTGACGATTTTGACTTAAAATTCGAAATCTACGTCCAAAACAACCTAAGAATATCAATTTTCAAAAAATTTACTACAGAATTCACCGAGTTATCGATTTTTGTCCATTTTTTTTTAATTTTGCCCACTGTGCGTTGTCCATCATATCGCTGCTCCATCGGTGGACATTTTTTGCGCAATCGGTATTTGCATGATCGACGACGCCTTCAATTTCTTTATGGCGAAAGTAAAAATCGAAAAGAATTTATAAACAATTTGACATATATTTCTCCTGCCTGGAAACTTAATTCAAGAAAAAATCTTCATTCTCAGCGACTTGAAAAGCTTGTGTTTGTCGCTCGACACTTTTGCTAATAATAGTTGAAAGCTTTCATTTCAGTAGAACACCTTGAGTTGCATAAAATATTATTTTGATTAAAATTTACACTACAAACTGTGTCTGTTGCGTCATATGTAAAATCATAAAGTAATGTTACATGAATTTTTTAATCCTGTGTTTGAATGTTTTAATCATTCTCACAAATTTAGAAAGAATAATTTGAAAAATATCTCGTAAAAGGAGTTGAGGAATATTTTTGCAACAAAATCATCTCTTTAATGTAGTATGTAATATTGAACATTTATTTACCTTACAGGAATGTTTCATAAAACAGAAACTCTTGAGATATGAAATTCGTATAAAGCGACTTAATAGGTACGCTTTTTATCACGGAGTAATAACGATGGCATCCTTTTTGCGTTTCAGAAAGCGCGTACGAAGATGAGGAGCAGTTCGCCAGGGGCGGCAGAACCCCTGGTGAAGGCGTTAGTAAAGAAGACGGTCCAGGCGGAGGTGGTACAAACGACTTTCCCTTGAGAATGGCGGCCGACACAACGAGGGGTCGAATCACTGCCGTCGCCGGCGGCTTCCTGCGAGGCGCCGGGCAGCATGTGAACTTCGACCCCGAGGCGCCTCCACCGCCGCTGCATGTCGCACAACAGCAGACGACTAGTTTACTCGAACGACCGGAAATCGACAAGAAAGTTAAGGTACTGAACAACTATAAAGTTTTACGTGCGCCATTTGAAGAAAGTAACGTTTGTTCAACGAGCGGAACTAAATCTAACAAGGAAGGTTCAGGAACTCGAAAATTCTAAAAAATCTAAAACTTTGCAGAAATATAATACATATGAACCTAATGAAAAAGCTATTTCACCTTTGGTTTTTTATAATAAATAATAATAAAAATTTTTTAAATAAAAATATTAAAAAATTAAAATTTAAAAAATTATTTTTTTAATTTTTTATTATAATGTTAAAAACCACAATATTTTGTATTTAATTTTTTAAATAATTTTTTTTATGGTTTCAAAAATATTAGCAAAAATGTAATATGAAAAATCGGATTTTCTTCGAAAGGTGTTTCTATCCCTAGAATCGTTTTTTAACTAAAACAAAAAATACTTTTTGATTACGTTTTTATGTATTATATTTCTGCAAAGTTTCAGATTTTTTGGAAGTTTTGGATTGCCGAACCTTCCTCGTAAGTAATGAAAAACGATGCAAAATTTGTTGCATCTATTAAATCTAATATACATATTCAGAATATTAATATTCTTATATTTTTTCAAACGAGCAAATTATTTTAAACGTTATTTTTTCTTTGTGCTTCATCTTATTTATATAATATAATATTTTCTTTACAAACTTTATTTTTCGATTTGAGAAATAGCAGTTCGCAAGAAAAAGAGTAATAGTTCTGCCGTACCAATATAAATCGCGGCTCTGACGATAATGATGTAGCGAGAGTGAAAAGGTTATCGGGTCGAGTTCGAGGGCTGAAAATAAGTCGGGCGCACCGTCGCGGTTCCGTCCGCATAAATTCTCCTCTGACCGTGCCGGAAACTCCAGCTTGAGTTTGACGAGTGGCGGAAAGAAACGGAAAAGACGGCAGCCGATAACGACGTTTCGATGCCGATCCAATTTGTGCGCGGCTCGCCGGCTTGCGAATCTCAGGAAGGGAAACAACTACTTCTTTCTTTCTTCGCTGTACTTTATTGGTTTTCGCCGGAAGTGGTCGCGCGATAGTGATTTGCTTCTTCTCTCCCTGATGTTCCGTCCGTCCATCCGTCCGTCGGGGAGAAACGACAAGAAGAAGCGAGGCGCTTCAGGTCAAGTTAGATGAAACCTTAATGCTGTTTTGATAACCAGGTTTAGCGTAGACGACGTCGCGATAGACCGAGAGCGATTATTTTTGCATAGAGGCCGAGGATTGGCAAGGATGTATAATATCAGCCACATGTCGGTGCCACCCAGCTGATCGATGGCGCAGACATTTAACCTTCGAATAAGGCCAAAACCCCTCTCGTGCTCGGCCGAATTCCTCGCCCGATCCGCGCTCGCGACTGCATTATTTAGCAGCGAGGCAGATCTGCAAATAGCTTTGTTCGGATTCTAAACCGGCTCGATGCATAATTAACGATATTGTCTCGATAGGCGTTGAAAGGAAAGAAGAATCGAAAGTGGGTGTTCTGTAGAGCGCGATCTGATCGGAGAAATCGGGAAACGCCACTCGGGAGCGCTGCTTTTCTTGTATACCGTTCACAGAAACGCGAGCATTTGCGGTAAAATACGAGACAGAAATTCGTGCAGATTCTCGGACACTCGTGCTGAATAGCTCGGCGGAAACGCTCGTTTTTATCGTTCCGTAAAACGGCGAGTACGTTGGATTTCCTAAAGGGATAAGAACGATAGGAAACGCCCCCCGTTTTTCCGACAACGTCGTACCGAAATCCGGGTACCGTATTTCGGGTACATACGATTACGCTCACGTAACGCTCTGTCATTCTAAGACGCACTTTGCGCACGCTGCGGAAACGCGCGGTTAATCTATTTGAGGATGAAAAGCTTCAGCGCGCGCAAGCGGGATGTGCTTTCATCTTTTAGTGCCTCGTAAATGTCCTCGAGTGAGCTCTCGCAGCGAAACCACAACCGCTAAATTCTGGTGTGTTACGCGACCGAATTTTGCCCATCCTCAATGAGCTTCTGATAATACAACGATAAATTTTTGATGACGTGAAAATTGGCAGATAAAAAGCTTCCGCTGCTTAATCGAGGTAATCTAAGAATTTTTAATCAAGAAATCTCCCTCGCCTCACACATAATGTAATTTTCCATCGCATTTTAAATTTTACAGGATATTTATCTTCACTTCTTTCTTAATCATGTATCTTCCAGCTTTATACTTTCACGTTTTGCTCCTCGCGCAATCTCTTCGTGTATGTACACTCTTATCTGAACAGTTATAGACAATACGGTCGGTCGACAATAGATCATCGCTGTGCAGATAGTAGAGAAATATAATATATCATCGTAAAGTTTATCACCGAGCAATATGGACCGTCACAAATGCGAATAGCGCACACGGACAATCGGACAGACAGTGGTTGCAGGCTGTATGCGCCAGACAGCGCGGAGAGACAACCGAATGCGAACAGTAGAAATAGAGACCAAACACGGACAGATATGGTCACCTAAACAGAAGACAGTAGCTACAGCCAGCACATTCTAAGACGTGTATTATACAAGCAGACCGATAGAACATTGGGAACATCTGCATTTATAATCAAACTAATCGGAATTAGAAGCAAACTCCTTTGGCTGTAAATTGTGCCAAGATATTATCGAACAACTTATTACCAAATTATTTTTCGATCGATCATTCTTACATTAAATCACTTTTTAAATCGTGAGAAGAGAAATGATTTATTTTTATGTTTCAAATATTTATTGTAGTCAAAATAAGTTGCACAACAAGTAAAAAAATAACGATTAAGATAGACTCCTCTATAATTGCCCAAAATATAATTTATTATTTAAATATGCAGCTTCTAATTTCCCGTTTGAATAAATCAGTCCAGTGTTGATTGCAGAGATTCTAAAATTTATAGAAACGGATTGCTTCTTAAGTCGCGTCGTACATCGCAATTCGAATGATTGCAACTTTAATGATGTAAGATTCGTGGGCCGTGTTAGGTGTCTGGTTGTCGGGAATATATCGCGCTTGAAATCCTTTAAGGTATTCCGCGTAACGAAGGCACTAAAGCGAAGCATTTAATCCACGATGGCTGAGCGAGATGCTACCGTTTCTGCGTTTTCCGGATTTAATCCTGTTTGTAAAACCATTTCGTCGAGAAGCGGCATTTCTCGGGCGGACAAGAAGGGCGGAAAAGAATCTCTTAGCGAAAAATAAAGGAGCTTCTCGCCTGTGGACCTTTCCTTTCACGGAATTCGCATTGTCTTATGAAAACAGGCGCCTCGAAAAATAACGATAACGGATTTTCCCGGTGGAAGTGGAAATCAGTATCCGAGATTGGGGGCGTCGATACAATCTAAGCGTGCAGCCGGATTTGCCGTACAAACTCCGAGCCCTTCTAATATTTTTGCAATAGAATGCGACAGAATGCGAAAGCGCTGTAAGAGTTATAAGAAAGATTCGAAAGTTGGTGGCAATGCTTACTTTTTAGATCGCACACCGGAATGCACTCAGTGTTCTATTATTTGCGAATACACAAAAAGAAGGAAAAACAAAATTACAAAGTGATGCGGAAAATGGTCGAATCGCAGTTATCTCCCGATATTTCAGAGATTTTCGAACAGTTGAAACTGCTGGGTTTCAGCGCACCGTCGTTTCAGTGACTCTGCAATGGCCTTTGCGTACTATTTATGGTAAAGATTATGGGGATTTCCCGGAACTTTCAACAATATACGTTTGAGTCTCTTTGTGCGCGCATTGTCCGTTCTGTCTCTGTTTCTAATGTCTGGCTCGCAGAGTTGAGTTTATGATAAGGCGTGTATTTCATAATAAAATATACTAAATTATACTAAAGCAAATTAACATTGTAAAACGGACCGTAGTGTTCGTGTTGCATCCACTTAGAATTTTAGTGCTACACGGATAATACATTATCATTTTGATTTCAAAACAAAATTAGTGCAATAATAAAAAGTTGCTCGATATAATACCGTAATATTTTATAGATAAATTGCAGCTTGTTTCCGAGAAATTAAACATGCTGCGGATTATTACTTAAAAATGGCTCGCGCATTTATTATAGTAAAATTAGTCTTTTATGACGTGTCGTATCTTTTATATCTCTCTTATAAATTTACAGCTTCAGCTTTCTAGGTCATAAATGCTGACGCATATATCTCAGGTTGTTAGATCATGAAAATTGAAAATCTAGTTATAGTTTGTGTTTGAAGGGGAGAAGGAAGCGCGTACACACACACACAGACGCGAAATGAAGGTGCACGACAAGGCACTTGAGACACTAGAACTTCGTACTGCGAAGAAGTCGACACTGACAACGAGTGTTTACTAGGGGCGCACCTTAATTGTCGAACTGGCGCACCCTCGGCAAACACCGTCTATCATACACATGCCGCTACAGAGTCTGGTAGGCCCGTTCGAGCCCTTTTTCGCAATAACGACTACGCATTCGTCTCCTAAAAGTAGATTCCCATCAAGATGAAGTCCCAATCATGCGAAACATCGACGTCGGTTCTTGGGTCAAGATTTACGTTCAAGTTACGCGCTTGTGTGTTCGCGATACGTCGCACACGTGCTCGACATTTATGGATCGAGTTTCGAACGACACACACACGCACGCGCGCGCACACACGCACACGCGCACACGCACACACACACACATACGGTATCATTGAATGACAGATATCACGGCGCGACGGATGAGTTTGTTGCGAGAGGAAGCCCAAGTATGTGTGCGTGACGCGCGCGTTTTAATAACTTTCGGTATAATCGATAATAAAACAACTAATTCACGGCTTAATGCTCGCTCCGATGCACGCGCTGTTTACGACAATGTAAAATTGATTGCGATCAGATGTACAAATAGTTTAAATGCGAGCGGCGATTAAAACGTGCTGTCAAGTACGTTTTATATTTACGACCGCTATGTGAAATAGATGCAACATACTAATTTATACACGCGAACGCGACGAAATATAATTTGTCCGCTGATAATTTCATTTATGCCTTCACAATAAAATTTCTACGTCGTTTGTAATTTCAATATTAACTTGAAATTGCAATAAAATCTCATCTCGCGTCCGATAATTCGATAATATAACAGATTGATTTCAATGAATTTAGTAAACGATAAATATTCTGTGTTTAATTTTTTCTTAATCCCTTTCCATTAACAAAATTTTAATTCGATCTTTTAATTACGATAATATGTAATGTTAAACTTCTTCAATGAAGCTAAGTGCTACAACGTTGCGCGGAAATTTTGCTTCACTTGCATTAGAGTTTCTAAAAGAGGCGATAAGTCTTATTTCACTTTATAACGCTCATTCTTCAACGTGTGAACTTTAGAAAATAAATTTATTGAAAGAACGGTGTAAAATTAAATTTTAATTAATAATTAATTTTACGTTATTAGCAATGAAACATAATTTCGTCGATAATTAACAGCACAACAGATTCATTGATTTCGGCAAATAAATTTTATGCGAAATTAAAGTTTAAATCTGTCGATCTGAATTTATACGCCAATGAGAGCGATTGAAATGTAAAATACACATCGTAGAATGTTACATTGCGCTAGACATTTCTCGAATGCGGTCATGAGAGGCTACAATTGATCTTCAGACCGGCGGCATTTCACCTCGTTAACTACCCTTGCATGCGGACGCATTTCCTCTCTCCGAATTCTGCATGCAGCTTTCGCGCGAGCGTCGCGCAAAATCACGAGCGTTAAATTGCGTGCAACCTCTGCAGTGACGAGAGGAAAGCAGAATAGTACTAGCACTAGACTATGATTAGCACAACTATGATTAGCACAACTATGACGGAATATGTGTAACTTAATGCACGGTGTAATCCACCGAGAATATGACGCAACGCGTCGGAAGCAAAAACGTTTAAAGAAGAGCGGAAACTCCCTGAGGAACGTTAAAAGACGTAGCGAGAGAGATATGATCGACTTCGTGTATCGTACACGTAGCACGCGAGGGGGTGCTAAAGAAACGTCAGAAGAAGACGTGGCGAGAGAGATCGACTTCGCATAAGTAGTAGCTGCGGAAATTACATTCTAGAAACGCTTTGTTTGTCTTCTAAAAGTACTCTTTCCCTCCGTAAAATCCACATTGCCGTTGTTAAGCAGTATGCGCTTAATATATGTGCCGCATGAAATTTCAAAGGAGCTATTAATCCCGGGATTAAATGAATGAACGGCCGGCACCGCGCCTCATAGTAAATATCTTCAAATATATATTCAGGCACGTAAGGATAAAATTATTACCCTTTCGCAGAGGCACAGCATACACGGCATGATGGAGGAGGAGAACGTGGTGAGGCCTCATCAGGAAATGGCCAGCCTGTCGCTCCAGGAGAAGAAATATCTTCTCGCCGTTGAGCGCGGAGACGTGGCTTCCGTCAGAAGGTGAGTTGAGATTTAGATAAATTTGCAAAATTCCTTACCTTCGTCGAGTTTTTCTTATTAACGTAGGAAATATGTAGGGGGGAAAAATGAGCGAATTTCTCATTTAATCTATTTTATCTTTAACCCCTTTATATATATATATATATATATATATATATATATATATATATATACTATATATATATATATATATATATAATAACTAACTAA